TAGTTTTGGTGCCTGTCCTGGATCTCACTCTGTAGACCAGGCTGGCCTTGAACTCACAGAGATCCGCCTGCCTCTGCCTCCCGAGTGCTGGGATTAAAGGAGTGTGCTGCCACCACCAGGCTTGCTTCGGTCTCTTTAGAAGATGGGAAGACAGGCCTTGGCACCAGGTCCAGAGCTATATATATATACATACATATATACATATATATATATGTGTGTGTGTATATATATACATCTTCTTATACAGGGAGGTTAGTCAGGTACAGCCTCGGGAGGGGATACAGGGGAGAACTGAGGAAAGATTTGCTTTTCTCACTATCCTGGAGGCAGGTGTCGTACCACATTGTGCTGGACCACACGAGGCAGGCCCAGGATGGTGGGAGCTCTGTTGGGGTTCCTGAGACAGGCAAGGAAGAAGCAGAAGCTTGGGTCTGCCCAGGATGAGACCTGCAGGCTTGGAGCTGTGGGCTGGATATGGTCTGGTCCCTGTGGGGAGGGGCTGGAGGCATGTAGGCAGCTTTTGACTGGTCACTGCAGCTCAGACACACTCCTGCCTGGGCCTTTGCTGCTCCTGGGAGGACCATGCCTTCCACAGTCTGAAAGGTTTTGTTCTGACTGGGTCTTACTATAGCCCAGGCTTACTCCTGTTTCAGTCTCCTGAGAGCTAGGATAATAACAGTGTATGCCACCATGCCCAGTGACAACGTCTCCGGGCCCTCTTCTTCAAGGATTCTCTAGCCCACTGCCCCATCTGCAGATTTTAAAGCACTCGTAGCAGGTAGGGATTGAGGCTTGCACATCAGGCAGCAGTTGGCGTTCAGAAGGGTGGTTGTCACCTCCATTCAGTCCCTGCTTGGACCTGTCTCCTAGTGGCCTGGCCTTGGCTGCTGGGAGGTTAGTCTCTCCAGGCAGTCTGGCCTCCCGCAGCTGCTTTGGAGGAGAGACCACCTACTCAGGGCAGACCTCAGAAGGAAGCTGGAGATGTGGCTGAGTTTATCTGCACAATGCTTTGTTGTTTTTCATTTTGAAACAGAGCCTCACTATGTTGCCCTGGCTAACCTGGAACTCTTTATGTAGACCAGGCTGGGCTTTAACTCACAGAGATCCACTTGACTCTGCCTCCCGAGTGCTGGGATTAAAGATGTGTGCTGCCACATCCAGCTGCATAGTGTTTTAAGGTGTGTGTGGCTGGTAACACAGGGCCTTGGAGGAGAGTATAGAACACCAAGCTCTGGACTTCCCCAGGCCCCAGGGGCCCACATTCCTGTGTTGTGACCTCCCTGGTTTTCCTATTGTTTCTCCTCAGGCCTTGTATGACCCTATCAACCCTGACAGGGAGACCCTGGACCAGCCGTCCCTTACTGACCCCCAGCGTCTGTCCAGCGAGAAGGACGTGCTCCAGGCTCTGAAGCCCCTGCTGGCCCAGGCCAACTTCTCCGCACTCTCTGAAGATGCCCTGGCCTACGCGCTCGTCGTCCATCACCCTCAGGACGAGGTCCAGGTACCTGTCCCCAGAGGAGTCGTTTTGCTTACCTCGGGGAAGCACTCCCCTTCCCCAGCCACTTGGGTGCCCTCTGTCAGGAAAGGGACTCAGATGAGGGTCTCAGGGCCAGGTGCAGTGCTGCTACCCGGCAGGATTCTATAGGCAACGATATGAAACTCATTCCACGGGCTGGAGAGGTGGCTTGATGGTTGAGAACACTTGTTGCTCTTGCAGAGGACCCAGGGTCTGTTCCTAGCACCCACATAGTCACTGATAGCTGTCTGTGATTCCAGTTCCAGGAGATCCGGTGCCCTTTTCTGGCTTTTACAGGTGGGCACCAGGCATGTCTGCGGTGCACTTACATACGTGAAGACTAAACACCGATACATATAGAATAAAAGTAAATCTAAAAAATCCAAAGGCTGGCTGTGGTGGCGCACACCTTTAATCCCAGGACTCAGGAGGCAGAGGCAGGTGGATCTCTGAGTGCCAGAGCCCAGTCTGGTCTACATGTAGTGAATTCCAGGCCGGTCAGGACTACATAGCTAGACCCTGTCTCTAAAAAAACCCACCAAAAATTAACAACAACCAAAAGACCTCTTTATTTTCCCTTCCATAAAGTCAACAAAACTGAAGAAATACTAAAATCTTCCAGTTCCATGTTTTAGTGAACATTAAGATGGATTTTTTAGACATATTCTGTCATATTTTAGGATGTGATCTGCCAGTGGTGGGAAGACGTGGTTAAGTGGCAATGTCTTGTCTTTGTGGTTGCTTCATAAATGGAGACTCTTCAAACCAGTGCTGCCTTAGATTCTAAGACGTCTCCTGTGTGCAGGCCCAGCCCTATGCAGTGTACAACATGAACAACCATGCCTGACTCCCCTCCCTACACACTGTATGATCAGCCGCACAAGGCAGGGTCCGTTCCTGGGTAGGAGGTGTATTCTGGCACGGTGCCCTTAACACCCGGCGTATGCTCAGCTACCTCTGCTTCCTTTCCCCCTTGGCAGGTGACAATAAATTTGGATCAGTATATCTACATGCAGTTCTGGGCCCTGGGCCAGAGAGTGGGGCAGATGCCACACATGTCCAGTGTGGGCTCCAAGCGTGGCTTCTTCAGAAGGTTGCCTCCTGCGGAGAGGTGAGGAGGCCCTGTTCCCTGTTGCAGTAAAGGGGAGCAAGGCTTGAGCTGAGAAGGGACTGACAGGTCAGTGTCTGGCTTTGGTGTCTTTGGCCCCAGGGAGAAGTCCAGAAATAGGAGGTACAAATTGTCAAAATGCAGTCTTTTCTCCCCAAGAGAAAGTGAGAACGACTGTTTCTACAGGAAGAGAAGGGGAGGGTCAGTCATCCCCATTTTCCAGATGAGGAAAACTGAGAATTTCAGAGAGGAGGGCCCATCCTGAAGAAGTGGCACAGCCAGCTGACAGGTCCAGTACAGGAATATATAATTAACCAATCCCATGGTTGAACATGTGACTTACTTCCAGTTCTTTGTGATTAAGTAGCTTGCTTGCTTTCTCCTCCTCCTCCTCCTTCTTTTTTTCCAGACAGGGTTTCTCTGTGTAGCTTTGGTCCCTGTCCTCAATCTCACTCTGTAGACCAGGCTGGCCTTGAACTCAGAGATCTGCTTGGCTCTGCTGGTGCTGGGATTAAAGGCGTGCACCACCATGCCTGGCTATTAAGTAGCTATCTAAAAGGCTATGCAGCTGGAGATGTGGAGTTTTAGGTTGTGTATGCCTGAGTTCTTTAAAGAACAGAGGTTGGAGAGATGGCTCAGAGGTTAAGAGCACTGGCTGTTCTTCCAGAGGTCCTGAGTTCAATTCTCAGCGACCATGTGGTGGCTCATAACCACCTGTAATGACATCTGATGCCCTCTTCTGGCCTGCAAGGATACATGCAGACAGAACACTGTAAAATAAATGTTAAAAAAATAAAATAAAATAAAAAACAACCTTCCTGTAAATAAATAAAGGAACAGAGTTGTGTGTGTGTGTGTGCGTGTGTGATTTATTAGACTGGCTTTCAGGCTGTGGTCAGGGTAGTCCAATCATGGCTGCCTCATGATGGAAAGGGTTAGAATGCAGTAATTTCAGTCCTGGAGGTTTCTAGAGAGCTGCTGGTTGGAACGAATACCCCAGCAGGAGGATAAACTTGCCTGTGAGAGCGAGGGCAAGCAGGCAAAAAGCAAAAGCGTCCTTCTTCCTATCCATGTACTTGTTTGTTTAGAGACATGGTCTCCCTTAGGTTGCTTGGACTGGCCTAGAACTTCCTGTGTAGCCCAGGCTGGCCTCAGACTCTAAGATCCACCTGCCTCTGCCTCCTGAGTGCTGGAATCAATGGCGTGTGCCCCAGGCCTTTTATGTGGGCTGTCACTAGAAGGTGGTTGCGAAGTTTTAGGGATGCTCACTTCAGCAATCCAGTCAAGCACTCCCTCACAGGAGGGCTCGACATCTTGGGTTTCAGTTGATTCCAGACGTGGTCAGGGGGACAACCAAGAGTGGCCATTACAGGGCAGGGCTCTGGCCTCCCACTCCTCCCACAGCACTCACACCCTCCTTTCTGGCCCTCAGGAGATACTTCAAGCGCGTGGTGTTGGCCGCCCGGACGAAACGGGGGCACCTGGTTCTGAAGAGCTTTAAGGACACCCCGCTGGAGGGCTTAGAGCAGCTGCTCCCCGAGCTGAAGGTGCGCACGCCCATGATGCGGCGCGCCCTGATCAACCTGATGTTGGTGGTCTCGGGAGTCGTGTTCTTCGTCAATGTGGGCATGGTGGTACTGTCTGACCTCAAGATGGCCACCTCCCTGCTGCTGCTGCTCTTTGCCATCTTCATGGGCCTCAAGGCCTCCAAGGTAAGCACCCTGGGGTCCCTGCTGCTTCGACTGCCCAGCCAGGCCCCCTGGACTTCGCTATTCCACGTGCTGTTGCTGGGACATTATGCTCTTACGTCTTCCTTACTTCATTTATCAGCACCCTTCACCCCAGACAGGGCTCTCTCCCAGTGCCTCAGTTTCTCTCTTCGTCAGCACAGTCGAGTCCTAGTGGGGCACAGGCATTTGAAGAGCATAACCAAGGCTGTGGACTGTGGAGCCTGACTGACTGGATGCAATATGAGTACTGCTCTCCAGCTGGGTGGTCCGAAGTAGATGCCTGACTTCCGTCTGCCTCAGCTCCTGTCCCTCAAAGAGAATGGTGACCGGACCTGATGTAGAGGGGTGGACAGGGGTTAAATGAGTCGGCGTGGACCTGGCCACAGGAAGTAGTACCATGCGAGGTCACTGTGGAGGTGATGATGCTCACAGTGCGACTCCTTGTTCCTTGAGTTTCCTTCCTGGAGGGCTACCGGGATCACCAAGAGAGCCAGCTCCAGCCCCAGAAGACAGGCTTGGAAACTCAGGGCCTGGGCCAGGAAGTTGTGTATTTAATAAGCTTCCCCTCTGAGCTGCAGCATGAGTTCAGGGCCTCCTCAGGTAGGCGTTGCTCAGCAGCTGGGATTCAGGGTCAAGAGGGCAGGTGGGGCTGACAGCCAACTTGTGTTCTCCGTGCCATTGTGTGCCCTGTTGGCCGAGATGGATGGGAGCGTTGGCCTTTCTCAGTTCTGGGGTTGCACCACCTCAGGAGTGCGGCTTGCCATGAGCTGTGTGTCTCTATCATTAGTTCTCACGCTGCTTCCAGCAGTTTTGACGGGCTCTCTCTCAGGGAGACCTGTGATAAATCCACACTGGCCACAAGGGCACTGGATACGCAGGGCCAGCACTGGGGGTAGGAGAGGAGTGTGCCACAGCGTTTTAAACAAGGCCCAGCGTTGCCAGGGTGGCCCATGCCCACACATCCTTCTGGGCTTTCCCCTCCGGGTAGAGGGAACCACAGGTTAAAAGTAGGGAGGAGCTGCTGGGCCACAAGCCCAGTAGAGGGCGAGACTGCAAGCAAGGGGTCCAGTGTCCTGGGGAGGGACACCGGCAAGGTGAGCCTCCTCTCACTCCTCAGTGGTCCACGGGGCTGCAGAGCCTTACGGGAGTGGAGGGTTCTCTGGTTACCCATTTATTCCTGTTCCAGCTGGGGCCCCAGCCCTGGCCTCCCACCAGAACCCCCGGCCATCCATATCCCTTCTGTGCTTCAGTGTCCCTGGGTACCACAGGCCCCTCTTTTTTTTTTTTTTTTTTTGAGACTGGGTTTCTCTGTGTAGTTTTGGTGCCTGTCCTGGATCTCTCGCTGTAGACCAGGCTGGCCTCGAACTCACAGAGATCTGCCTGATTCTGCCTCCCGAGTGCTAGGGTTAAAGGCGTGCACCACCACCGCCCAGCCCACAGGCCCCTCTTCTGGTCCTTTCCCATCTCTGCCTGTGTGGAACCAGATGCTGTCTGCCTGGCTTCTCAGCTCCTGTCTTGGAGCAGGATGCAGACCCTTTTCCCGCTGAGGAGTTCCTCCATCTTGAGTCTCTGGCCAGCTGGGCTTGAAGCAGTGGTTCTCACTGGCTGCTCAGCCAGCATCTCCCATATCTGCTGTTAGTGGGGGCATGGCCATGATGTCTGCCTTGTTCCCAGCCTCCAGGTGGCCCTGCAGCCCATTCCCAACTCCACCCAAGGCAGGTCCTCTCTTCTCCCTGTCTGGTGGCTTTCCTGTTCAGCTTACCTTGTGGTTGGTTGCAGTCTTCACCACCATTATATCGCCTCCACCTGCAGTTTCTGCTCTTGGTGTGTTTGTGACCCTGGTCTCTCCTGCTTCCCCAAACTCCGCATTTGTGTGTGCTACCCCCTCTGACTGAATGTATTCTCTCTCACTGGGCTGGCCACCCCTACGCGTTCCTTATCCCTTGCCCAGAGGCCATGAGCTCCCTGATGCCTTCCTGGATCACTTAGTCTGGGATGGGTCTCTGGCACCCTACCGTATGTCTGCCTTCTCTGCACAGAGCAGGACAGGAGCAACCTGGAGGCTGTGGAGACGTGTAGGCCCCTCCTAGGGGCTGAAGGCCTGTGGACACAGGTGGACAGGTGGAGTGGCATGGTTGTAGGAGCCTGGGGATGATGCATCCACTCTCTCCGCACAGCCTTGAGGATGGGGCGGTGCTTTCTAAGACTGGGGGGCCCATTTGAAGACCCACGGTCTGAGGGGCAGGGCTACGTGGGCACAGCAGTATATACTGTGTGGGCTGCACTAGGTTCGGAGCTTCCGATTCTGAGCCAGGGAAACTATGAGCAGGGGATGGGGACATGAAGCCAGGGAGGAGGCGGGGAGCAGGATGGGTCAGGGACAGACAGGCTGGCTTGGAGGGATGAGGATGGCGACACATAGAAGGTAGGGTTACCAGAGTGGGGAGCGGGCGGTTTGGGAGTGTTTGCAGGCCAGTGCGGCGTGCTCCTTTAGACACGAGACTCTGCACTCCAGTCTCGGCAGGTGAAGACAGGAGACCCAACTCTTCCGTGCATGATGGTCCTTAGCACAGGACTCCTGTCTCTATGGCAACTGGCTCCAAGGCCGGGATAGAATTCATAGTGTGGGCTCTTCAGCAGGCCCAGCCACACAGCCATGTTGGGAGGCGCCCAGCTGTGTCAGTTCAGGCTGACTTCTTGGCCCAGGTGGACATGGCCGGTCGGTCCTTAAGGGGTCAGTGTGGTGCCTTCCTGGGCCCTGCAGCACCAGCCTTGTGGTGCAGACAGAGCTGCTGCAGGCCGCTCGATCCAGGCCGGAAGCTGGGAGTCGATGGCGGAGGCCACACACAGGCACAGCTGCCTTGAGCTCATCCTTCCTGGCTAAAGTGGATTTGCAGTGTGCGAGAGGGTCAGGCTGCACCCGGTGCCCTTTCCTGAGGTTGTCTTTTCTTTTTTTTGGGGGGTGGGGTTCAAGACAGGGTTTCTCTGTGTAGCTTTGCGCCTTCCTGGAACTCACTCTGTAGCTCAGGCTGGCCTCGAACTCACAGAGATCCGCCTGCCTCTGCCTCCTAAGTGCTGAAGTTTTCTTTATAGCGTAGTAGCTTAAACTGTTCCTTTTCAGTTATGGAAAGGTTCAAATAGATGCAGAAATAAGGTAGCCTGATGAATTCTTACGTCGCCAACGCCCCAGGCTCTCTGTCCTGGGCCACTATAAAACTAATCTTAGACATGTCACTGGGAATGTGGAAGGATACTTGACAAGGATGCACTGGCATTGGAATTTCCTAGGCTAAGACTCATGTTTAAAACCTTGGCACAAACTCATTAACATATTGCCAGATAACAAAGCAGTGGGCCACTGGCGGGGGGTGCACTTTGGCCTCAGCCCCAACGCAGACTGCCAGGGCGCTCTGGTTTTGGGGGGCCTGACCTCTGACCTGAGCCTGCGTCCCACAGGTGTTTGGGCAGCAGAGAAGTGCCCAGGCGCTGGAGCTGGCACACATGCTGTACTACCGCAGCACATCCAACAACTCCGAGCTGCTCAGCGCCCTGGCACTGCGCGCGCAGGAGGAGCACATCAAGGAGGCCCTGCTGGCTCACAGCTTCCTAGGCCGCCGGCCAGGGGGCGCCCAAGGCCCACCTGAAGGTAAACCTTCCCTGTCGCCTAGGCCTCCCTGCTGTCCCCAGGTCACTGCTGTCCTCCCTGCTGTCCCCA